CTATCTCGGGAGCACAGGCCGCATTGAGATGTTTGGAGACTTGATTCCACTGAGCAGCTGTCCAGTCAAAGCTGGTTGAACTAATTGAGCGATAGAGACCATGCAGGGCTGGTGTCAATTGGGTGAAAACGTCGAGCACTGGAAATCATGAATAAGGGCCCAAGCTCAAACCGACGCAGACTCACCATTTGCAGTCTTTATCTTGCCAACGACATCTGCTATGAATGCAGAGATAGCAGCTGTCGCTGTATCCCTATGTTCCGAGTGAGCACTGGAAACTCGAAGGAGCGCTGAAATTGTAGAGAAAACGAGCTGGTCGGGTAAAGCCCAGTCTATTTTGAAGATGAGCAGTGTACGTATGTATTCGAGGGAGAGCTCCGGTACCTTCCCAAGACAGACAGCGGTCAAAGTCAATGTTGGGGACGTCACGGAGTACATCGACTAATGCAGCAATGAGGGTGTCGATGGTGCTAGCAATGTGGGTGTCTGGAAAATTGACGACGAGCTCCCCAAATGCGATATTGCAGTGGACTCTGGATGCCGACTAACCTCTTGTTCAGCAAACGACAACTGGAAAAGCGAGAAACGTACCATGAATACCCTTGCGTTTGCTTCTTCATCGTCTCTCTCAGCTCGGGTCTGCACCTTGGATGTGATGGTCTCTGTCGCATACTCCAAGTCATCAGCAGTCTCTCCGATATTCGACGCAATGTCAGACAGAATGCGCTGGTGAATGTTCAGCTCAAGGCTTCAGGAATGAGTATTTCGTTGACGAAAGAAGACTACACCACCCACCAGTCCATAACGGAGAGACTGTCGCAGCGATACAGGCCGCTTGTCTCGCACGTGGTAGAGCGCGACTTTATTTTTTCCCATCATCATGGCAAAGACGCCCAGTTAGTCGCCGGATTTCTTGCGAATATCATCTAACAAATCTTCAGAGCATACAGTTTCCTTTGCCTCAGACAACGACGATGACGACGATGAGATTCAGAACTCCCAGGACTCGCAGGGCAGCAGTGACGGGTACCGAATCGCGTTCTGCCTTGTTATTTTCTGGCTGAGTTATCTTCAATCAGGTTGGATTTGCACAAGATATTGGAAGAAATCCAAAGTATGCGTAGTCTCTCTGTCTCGTCAGGCTTACATCTTACAACCATCGAACAGAGCAGCATACGAAGAAAGCCCAAGCCAACATCACTGCATTCGACAACGACCGTAAACGCCTATATTCCGAGGCACGAAAGAGAGCCAAAGCGATTTCCCAAGCAGGAATGGAGTACATGCGAGTGAAATTGTTTTTTTCTTTCTTCGTTGACTGACCTTCTTTGGTTCTGTTAGCGAACAAACTATGGCGAGCTACACAGATCTCAGACAACAGGAGACCACTTATGAAGAATATCTCGCGGAAGTTTTCGAAGGGCCAATGCGAAAGGATTACAACGTGTGTACCCCCACTTTCGCGAACTCGATTTTCCGACTCATTATTCCTAGGAATATGAACAGGACCTCCTCCTCAATGTACTCCCATCTGGTCCGGATGATCTCTTCCATCGTCGCGCAGCTATAAAAGACGAATACGACGACATCAGTCAGTTATTCTCTCTTTTTGGAAATCAACCTTACTCATGTGGATGAACAGGACGACATGCACCAGAGAAGAGATCACAATTTCTTCGTAGCTTTCTGGTATCTGCACGCAAGCAGCTCGAACGCAGCAACCAGGAAGTTGTAGTCAGTGATTTTTTTATCAACCGCATCTACCCCAACGTCTTTTCAGGTCAGAACCGATGCCGCAAACCTCATCAAACACTACAATATGCTACTTCGATGAACTGGAATCGGACTCATTCCTGAGAGTCAGTATTGATTCCTGTCAAGCGCACATACCCTGACATTCTACGTCTCAAACCAGAATTAAACTCTGCAACATGCCTTTCGACGAGGATGGATTATTTGCTCTTCACTCGGACTATTACTCTTCACTCGGACTATTGCTCCTCATTCCTGCACATGGACTCTTTTTCTGAATCTGGCCGGCGCGCCCTTCTGTATCAATCAACCTTGCAATACTGTCTACCTACACTCAAGCTCTCCATATCTGTGTTTCTGTAACAAACCGATGTTTTTACGCTCCGTCCGTTTGGGGTGATTGAAACCTTGGGCTACCGAGCTTTCAACTACTAATGTCGATCAAAGTGGAAGCATACACGATTCGAGACACTCACAGCTCCAGGGGGTATTACATGCTTTGTCTAGCTAACATACTAACTAGACGAGGATTCTCGTCCAGGCCATACCACTGTTTGAGCGTTCACTGAACACCGCCCCATATTTTCAGAATGAAATCCGGAGCTTCTCTGCGGACGTGTTAGCTGTTCAAAAAAAGAAGTTATGGCGTGTCTGATTTCAGTAAACGGTAACGAGTCCATACTTGGTGTCGCCTGCACGGTGACTATCAAGTCCTAACTTAGCACAGTTTTCATTTGGAACCACTTATTGGATCCGCAGGTATTTCCCGATGGATCTATACTGGCTCTCTTCGAGTTGTCTGCTGAAGGCTTGACTTGTATGAGATCTTGGTAGTAGTATTTTGTAGTAGGTCGGGGCTTGAGGGTGCCCTTGCAGCGACGGAGGCTTTGAGCATGACTGGGAAAAGCAAAGACAACAGTGTCGAGTTGTTCACAAAAGGTGCACATGAGACTGACATAAGAACCCAAAACTCGTAGCTTTCTCCCTCGGGATGGATCCGTGGCGCAGGGAATTTCGCCGCGTCGTTGAGATTTGATTCGAGTTATGGCTTCTTTCCTCAATACAGGGGTTTCCTTCAGAGATGCTGAATCGCAGTACCTACTTGCCCTCAACATTCGGGTGGAAAATGAAAAGTCTTGATGAGGCGAGGTTTGACACGTGACGCAGCCTCTCATGTCCGTCGCTCATGGTTCTCCAGTGTTGGACCTAACAGCGGAAAAGGACATAGCAGACGGACCTGATGCCCTCGAGCTCGACATTTACCCAGAAACAGCAGGAGACCATGAATCTCTAACAAGTCCCTCTGGTCGATTACTCTATCCAAATTCTGAGAATCCTACCCCACGATCCTCCCGGACACCGTCTGCTTTAGACCTCTCAGCTATCACCAATGGTGCCACAGCCAACCCTGCAGCTCGAGCCTCGTCGTCCCCTACCAAGGAGCCGCAACCTTGGGATCTGGTCGACCCACCACGGGACAACAACAACCGAAAGACCCCCCAAGAGCCCAAATTCGTTATACTGAACCGGAATCGCAAGATACCAAAATCTTCTTATTATTTTGGGCCTCCGCCTTCAACAAGCGCATATGGGTCACCGCCAATGGGCACCATTGGTAAGTTCGGCCCAGGTTTGGCAATCTTGTCTAAACTTTCTCAGGAATCCACCATCCTCGGGAGATTGTTCGGATAGAAAGGGACTATACGGGAGGTGAAGGAATTATCCAATTTGCGCCTATATACCCTCTGGAGCTCGAGGGTCGAGTACGTTTCTCCCGGTTTCCCTCTTGTCTTTATTAACAGGTATCTCAGATAACACCAACCCAATTCCTGTCTTCAATAAACTCTATAAATGAGATTCTCATCTCAGCTCACTCGGTTCGTCTCAATCATCGTTGTCTTGCTGCATCGACCGACCGAATTCTAGATCAAGGGTGCATTCATTGAGAATGCTTTGGAGGTATTTACTTTGGGCCTGAGCAAACTGGTTTTCGGTGGGTGGTATGACAAGGTGCGTCAGTTGCATGAATGCCTCGATGTCATTGACGTATGACCTTAGGAAATGAGGCATCTGCAAGACCTTTTCCAAACCCTGAACCAGGAGGTTTACAATCCCGCTGGACTGAACTTGTTATGGCCAAGATCAGTCGGATTTTTATTCGTGAGTTTCTGTGTCCTCGTCGCTGCGTCAGTTGACGAACCCTTTCTAGATGGAGATTGAGTACTATTAGGTCCACCGGTCGAGACTTCTGTTAGACATATTTCACTCTTCATTCGTGTGGGCTGTTATCTTTATTATACTGTACTTTATATTACCCTAGTGCTTGGTTAATGCAGCTGGGTGAGTCGATTCTTGGCTTTTTGAGCACTATACTTACGAGTCTCACAGTCTCCGGATTATCAAACAGCGTGAAGTTTCCACAAAGGATTATATTAACTATGAAATCTGGTTCTCTCAAACTCAAGTGCTAGCGCTGGCCACACTAGCTGCTGCACCAGAGCCGCTGGGGACTGCGCTGGGCGCTCCGGTTAACGGGGTCTGACTAGGGAAAATGTCAGCTTGCTGAAATATGGTCCCAGAGATGCTACTCACGTCCAAGTGATAAGCTCTGTAGCATCGGTGAGGAACGGGGCAGTCGGCAGCACTGTCTGGAAGATTCTCGTAGCCGTGAAGATACTGGGTGTCGCAGCAGCACTGTCACTGACAGCCTGCCTCTTGCTGAAATCGCGTTCAGCGCGATCGTGCCGCTTTGAGTCAAAAGTAAGCATGGTTTCTTCGATCACTGCAAACACTCTTACTGCAGAGACAGCAGCGACGACGAGAGAAGTTATAAGGAGGGAAAGCTTCATGATGTCAATCGAACGAAGTAAAGGACAATGGTTATGTATCGTTTGTGAACCTGAGTTTATAGGAATAGAGAGCGCAGTCATTAATTTACTTCCGCTGCTCAACTTATTGGTATTCTGCGGAGATTTATCGACGGGACACAGTCGTGAGTTTCTCGTACGAATCAGAAGCTCCCTTGGATATTCAGTATAGCGGTGCGCAGCTACTCAAATAGGCTGTCGTCATGCACTGAAGAAGCCGATATTCATTCATCTACAGTATGATGCAGATCTCAAAGAGGTTCACTTCAGTACGGAAGGTGGATTAGATGGCAGACCTTCTTGCAACACGGTATCTGTTAGTTGGGATAGCAAAGTGAAGGGAAACTCAGCAAGACGGGAGGGAAGCAGAAGAAAAAAATATTCCGACACGGGGAATTGAACCCCGGGCTGCCGCGACCCCAAATACTTGAGCATATGAGAGGCGGCAATGTTAGCCACTACACCATATCGGATAAGAAAGTGGCAGCGTACCGACTATATGTCCAAAGTGCTGACGCTCTGACCACATGCATCAAGCCTAAGGCAGATTCTGTTTTTTGGCTTTAATTCTTGCTGGTTGAATTTCAAAAGTGCAAGACATACTTTAATAGCCGCAAGACAGCTTATGGAAGTCCAGTGGATGGAATCTCTTGTTGGGTTGTGATTGGGATGCTAACAAGTTTGACCCCTTTTCTTATAATCTTTTTAAACCTCTAGCATGCACCCAAATACAAAAACATTCCTTCCCAGTTTGCGGCTATTCTGCCAAGTAGGTTCCAATGATCTGATAAAACAATCTTTGCAGCATTCCAACTCCTTTTTGATAGAAATCAAGGAGAACTCTTTCCTTGTTTTGAATGTTGCTCAGCAACATGCCAAACTTTTTTGGTATGAATGAACTATGATGAGCTGGCAGTAAGCTGTCTATGTCTTGTTCCTTAGCATACTAACTCTTTTCAGAACAACCTGCACTTTGCTCTGCCTATGTTGACAGACATATTCCTTGTCATTGTTTTAAGGACAGGGGTGACAAGTGTTATCCTTCAAATGGAGATTTCCTGAACCGATATCTCAGAGCTGTGTCTCACTAATGGACATTGTACTTATATCCTGCTGACTATCTCAGAAACAGTAAGCTTCCTCAGTAAAATCATTCCTTGATATCATGGAGGCAGTCCAGACATTATGAACAGAACCCTACATAGTTTCCTTGTTCTGCAGAACCTTTGTTAAACCATTATTGTACTGAGGGATATGTTTGCCTTAATCTCCTGATGTGTCTGTATGAGTCACAGCTAGTATCCTTGTTGTGATGAGTCAAGGTCTAGTAGCCTCTGCAGCTTATAGGTACAAGTCCTACTAGCAGTGTGGAGCTTGACTCTAGTGCAACAGTTATCCCAAATGTAACCACTTTAGACAGCTGTCACACTAAATACAGATTAGTCCTGGTGATGGTGGTGTTGCCTTTCTTGGATGCCCATGCTCTTTTATTTTGACCAAAGTCAGGCATGGTACAGTAGCTTACATCATAATGCATACAGCTGGGACCCACCAAAACCATATGCATCAGTAAATAGAGCATCACACGATTACCATTTGTGAATGTTTCGTACTCATGCTCATGAATATTTCACATGTCAGAGGTGACATTTGTACTCATGTCTTATTTGTAGGAATGAATGCTTTTATTTGCAAGTTTTAAAAACTTGTGAATGCACTTCACAAATATTTGTGATATTAAGAGTGTAGTTGAGGTTATACAGCCTATTAATCCATGTAAAGGACTTGAGTATCACCTTTTTTTAGTGTAGTTACTATTGCTAAAGAGCAGAGAGATTCAAATTGCAGTATACATTGAGTCTTTGAAACCCATATTTGTACTTGTACTCGTGAATGATGTATATTTGCAAATTTTCCCATGAATATACCTGGCATAAATAAAATGAATATATTCGCTTTTTTTCACCTATAAATGGCTAAACTAGAGTATTGGCCGATTGGCACTGGCAAGTCATTCACACTTGTGACTTGCAAGTTTCACATATCAAAAGGCCAGATTCGTACTCGTGCCCTACTTGTGGGAATGAATACTTTTACTCATAAGTTTTAAAACTCATGAGTTTATTTGACAAATATTTGTAAGATTAGGACTGTGATTTGGCTTTTTAGTTAATGAATGCCTTAATCTACTGTTGTTGACCAAATTTAGCAGTGTAATAGAGGTAAAGAAGATTGAAGCAGCACAAGTTAAAGATATTTGTCCATGTCAAATCTTTTGAAACCCATATTTGTACTTGTGGCCTACTCATGGGAATGAGTAGTTGCACTCATGAATGGGCCAAACTCATGAGTACTAAGCAATTGTCTGATGCTCTAGGCTAAACTACTCTTTGCATACAAAAAAGGTTTCAATCAAGGTTTGCTGGGCATTCTGGACCCAGCTGGATTCACCACAACCTCACCTTCCAACTTTTGCAGAGCATCAGGGTTCAGCTTGTGAGACAGTGCTGGCTATGAGAACTTCAAGACACCTTTGTGGCATGAAGCAAAATGTTGGACAACCTCCACCTGATCCCAATTGGGGTGGTCATCAACAAATTGATAAACCAGTGACCAGCCAAAGGCAGCCAGATGTTCTCACTTTCTGGCTTCTAAATGCTTCTGAGTTATCTGTGGGGCACCAACATGATTTCTGTTTGGCCCATGAGGCCCAGTAAGAAGTCCATCCCTCCCATTTCATGTCATTATAATCAATGTTTCGATTTAAGGGCCTCATGGCAAATCTAGGTTGATTTTCCTCAATTTCTGTCCATTAGTGAATCGAAGCCATTCAATTTTGTGCAATTGCAAGGCTTTTATATTGATATACCAACACATTTGCTCCCAATCTGCTTCCCAGGCACTGTACCACCACCTCTATTCCTTCCAGCTCCATATCCATGCATCCTTTGTCGCAGCCTGAGCCCAAGAATCTGAATGAGAGGGATCAATGAGAATGATTGAGCATCTAGATGCAAGAGTTAGAGATGGTGCTCAAGGAAATTGGAATTGGTATGAACCTTGTTGACATGATTGTGCAATGGATACGGAAATAGATATGTCAATGGAGAGAATATGATAGAACAGAATTGACGAACATTACTAGTCAGATGATGTCGAGCGACAAAGCACCTAAGCTATGTGAGCACGGCACGAGCAATACACAATGAACTACAGACCTTGAGGAATGCTCTCATGCAGCCTTTGCCTTGTGTTTGATCATTCGGAAGATTGGAGGCTGCAGATGTATCAGAAACAGGACAGAAAGAGAGAAACTGAGCACCTGCTATAGCCAGACAAACAAAGGGGAGCCTAAGATGGACCAGGAGAGGAAGATACAGCTCAGTGCTGGTCTGGAGCCTCCCAGGAAGACATGCGACAGGATGATGCTGTGGTGACAATGAGGAATAGGTGCCATGATGAAGGGAATGTGTTGGAATCTGGAGTACAATCTGGCACAATCCTGAAAGTGCTCAAAAGTTCTCGAAGGTCATCATTGCTTACTCATTTTGTGGAGTCACTCCAACTCGCATATTCAAGAACATTCTAGATACTTTAGCTACTAGTATATAAGCCTGTAGTATCAAGGCATCCTAATAATTAGTTCCTTACAAGATTAACCTCTTGAGAGTCACCACTGCACCTCTCATATTCCAATAGAATGGAGGTAGAAGTGATAATAGGGCACCTTTTGGTGGGGCTGTCGATGCAAATGGAGTCTTTGAAACAGATCTATAAAGATCTATAACTAATAATCCAAATACACACTAACTCTCTTTTAACACCCTAAGTAATTCGGGCAGCTATTAAGAAAGAGAAAGCCTTTCAACAAAGTTGTAAGGTTTCGATTGCACACTACTGGTCTCTCGCAGACAGAAACTTAGCTTAGTTCACTTTGATGGTGAACCTTGCACGGTTTTTGTAATGGTTTTAATTCACAAGGAATATAAAGAGGATAGGTGCTGGGCTACTGCTTCAATGGGTGTCAGGCTACAACTTCAATATGTCTTTTCAGATGAACACAATTTTATTGCACCTCGGAGCACCATGTCCTCATGTACACACTAGCACTATCACTGGGTTTGTACCTCAGATCACCACATCCTCGCATACCACAATAAAATGAGATAAAATGTGGCTGAGCTTTGTGGGGTACAATTCACTGAGTACTATCAATACAAATGTGCTAGCTTTATAGTAATTCTACATATTATTCAGAGTCTGTGTGTTTTAACAAGGTTCACTCAATCAGGAATACCAATTGTCTTGGCTTCCTGATTTGCTATGCCTCAGTTATCCACCAAGTACCTCTCTTCCTGTTAAGGTCGCTGTGCTGTGCTTGTGATCTAAAGCAATTCCTGTTCAGGACAATTCCTGATTAGGACGTGCTTCATCAGCACTTTCTTATACATCGTCACCCTGAGTAAGACTGATTGGTCACAGCTTACTCGGCAGAACTTGGTACAGTTTTCCCACATTCATGCTTCTTCCGTGTCATACTTCCTCGCACTGGTAATAGAGTACCGTTATGACTTCATATTTAGCCATGAGATGCCCACTGTTACAGTGTTTTTACTGCATGTTTCCCCAAGTAACTTCATCATGTATAGATGTGTCGTGGTTCCTTGTTTGGTCCTTTAAAGTGTCACGTATTGGCATACTATGCTTCATGATATCATCCCCTGGTCTTGAGCACTCAAGACTTGTTTCCTATGTTGACCAAGTAGTGCAGCTCACTTACAGACAGTTTACTAGTAACACTGCTGCATCATTGTGTCCTTGTCCGTCAAGTATTCCGGCAAGATCATGCTTATCGACCGTTGCTAGAGCCTTCTTGGAGATTGAACTATGTTCGATACTGGTACTGGTGCTTCTCTAGACAAGACAGAACTTGCTTTCTAGGCAGATTGTGTCCCATTCATAATCAGGAAAGATGGTCATATTTGCTAGATATGCCAAAAATACATGGTGGAACGTTTCCAACCCTATTAGTGAAGAAGGGACGTGAGAGAATCCATAAGGTGGACAATTATTTATATCTCCAAGTCCATCGAAGCCATCAACGCAAAGGTCAATGATGCAAGAATTGAAACCTGCTCTGACACATCAATATTTGTTTTGGCACTGGATCCGGTACTAGATCGGTAGATACAGATATTCGAGAACAATCAAAGAAAATTGAGGGAAATGAATTAATGGAAGAAAATCGAGGTAAATAGAACCAAATTGATGGACTTCTTACTGGGCATGAGGCTTGGGTCCCTTTGATGGCTTCTGGTTTAGACAGACAGATCGCTTTTTTTGGGTTGGCATGGGAAGAGTCAGGGTTTGTGTTCAAATATAGCCAATAGTCAACAAATAGCATTCAAAATGGTCATCAGAGCTGACATCAATTTCCTTTTTTAGTTAAAATCACTCCCATGTTAACACATAT